CACTGCTTATTTTGTGAGAAATATCGAGGGACTCATTCCTCAAAAAATTATTTTCACAATAATCTTACAATTAGGAAAATACATAAAATTGGGAAAATTTTGGTCCAACAACTGTTTTTGGTCGGAGTCCCCCTTTAAACTTTCCCGGTCATATTGGGGGAGCGTTTTTCAAACTTCCGTTGGCCTTTTGATTAAAATTTACAAATCTAAGACAAGATTATGACAAGTCAAGACCAAAGAAAACTTGAACGTTAGTCGAACGGAGCAACTTGAAGTTTTAAAAGGTTTAGCCGAAAAGCAGAAGCTCTCAAAAAGCTCTGCAGGAAATTAAATCTCAAAAAATTTCAGATGCAAGAATGACCGAATTCGGATTCTTTGAATTCTTTGAAGCAGAGGCCATCTAAGGGATCAAAGAATTCTGAAACAACTGAAACTGTGCTGAGTGTGGGCAGATTTGATGGGCGGTGCTGGGATACAGAGGCCATGGAACCAAAAAAAAACTCCAGATTTCATTATTCGTCTTTTTTCTTGTTTCTCGCCTACACGCCGACACAAATTCGTGGGGCCAAGAGCAAACAAAATCCATTGTAGTGGACGCATTGAATGGTGGCAAATTTTACAGAATAATTCATGATTTGATTCGATTCATGATCTAAAATAGTGGCAAAAAAGAGGGGGGGGGGGGTTGCTGTAGAATTTGAAAAAAAAACTAGCTTCCTGTCCCGTACAGCTCAAAGTTTAAAAATGGAAAAGTTTAAAATGAGGAAAAAAGTGATGCGAGGTGGGAGAAGAAGAAGAAGAGGATAAAAACGGACGAGGATCCAAAAAGTATATGAAATATTCGTGAAGCAGGACATGAAATTGGATCGACCTATTTGGAGATGGAATTTTGATGAAGAATGAGTGCGGACGGGGAAGAGAAGTCCGAATGTCTAGTCGAGTGACGGCATGCCAGATTCCACGCATCATATTTTTGACGTTCTCATGGAAACTGTCAAATGGTCAAAAAGAAATGATGATGATGAAGAAGACGTTTAATGGTCCATAGATTTTGGGAAACCTAGAATTTATTCAATGTTGCAAAAACTGAACCGTTGCAAAAAACTGACTTTCTTACTGAGAATAGAGCTCCGCCCACTTATAAAATGGAAGACTTCTTGTTTGACAGAGAATCTTTGAGAACCGGCAAGAAAAGAATACTGTAAAACCTGTATTAGAAGGGCCCGTTTAAGAGAAGAGCTGCTCTAATAGAAGGGCCCCTTCAAAATGTGTGGATTGAAATTAAAAATGTCTGTACGTTTTCAGTTTAAAATACTCCAAAATATCCACAAGGACACAGAAATTTGTCGAAACACTCTTTTTTGCCCACAAGTTTTTCTCAATTTTGGTTAAATTAATAAATTTTAATTAATTTTGAACGAGACATCACCAATTTTTTGTGGAAATTTTTCCGAAAAATGGCTGGAAAAGTAGAAGAGCCCCTTCAATTATTGGACCTTTGTTATATAAAGGCTCTCCGGAGGAGTCATGGAACATTAGAGGAGTCGGCCTTCCTATTAGGGGCTTTACGGTATTCGATGACAGTGGAAGAAAATGTGATAATCATCTACCAAAATATGTAATTCTTAATGTTTCAATCCAAATACTATAAACGCTATAAAACTATACACATATTTTTGTCGCAATTGTGACTTTTCGTCTCTATTCTTAACTATAAGAGTATGTACTTCCTGTCGTAATTATTTCAGCTAGAAAGCTGAAACCCTCCGAAAACTGATAAAAATGACCAACGACAGTCTGGCGCATACTATCTATTCTTGAGATGGCACGTTTTTCGAATACGTTGAACCAGTCGGAAGTTTTGAAATTTCAAAATTTCAAAATTTCGCAAAAGAAGTTCCGGATAGTAGATAGTTATAGGAATTATAAGTAACTCTTCATATTCTCTCAATTCTCAACTGAACTTCTATCATTGAACTTCAAAAGAGAAAACAAGAGCTGGGAAATGATGGATTAGTTTTACTTCTACTAATAATACTACTTCCTTTTTTAGAAAATGTCAAACGAATTAATTGCAGCAGATAAATATCCCATCATGCCACACAGATACAAAATGGAATCATTTTTTGGGAAAATATAGAAAAGCGGGGAAAATGTGTAAATCATATGCAACAATTCTGGGCATTGACGTTAAAGGAAGTGAATAGAGATAAACAATTTAGGGATAAACCTTTTGGAAGAATTGCTAGGTCAACCCGTTTTTGTCTTTGTAGTGGTCATCGGAATTCAATGATCAGCCGGATATTCAAATTTTTTGATGTCAGATTTTGAAACGATGATGCACTTTAGAGAGTTCCACTGAGTTTACTAGAAAATTATTATTCTGGTGTACAAAAAAGCCGTGTAAGAGAAATGATTGTGGGCGTGGCCAACTGATAACCTAAAAGTTTCGGTCTTTTTTTCTTGAATAATGTTGCTTCTTAAAAATATTTGTGCTGAAAACCCCCAAAAAAGTCGGAAAATGAAAAATTTAAAATCTGATAAATTGCCGGAAAACGGACGAAAATTGAGGGAAAATAATTCCAAATTACGGTAGTTCGGCCGTGGCAGCGGCTACCAGATTTTCTCTTCCAGAGCTCCGATTAGGCTCCGCGACTCTTCGTAGCCATTTAGAAATCGTGGTAATACAGCCGAATGGTTAAAATTCAGACTATAAAAACAGTGCTTGGGTTTTCAAATATGATCTTTCTGATAGAACAAGTTCTTAAACTCTAAAAATTCCAAATTTTAGTTGTTTCAAGATTTTTTTTGAATTTTTGAGTTATAGAATGTGTTCTAAATATCAGAAAGAGCGTATCCGAAAACCCTAATATTGTTTTTGCAGTCTGAAGTTTATCCATTCGCACGGTTTCGAAATGACCGGTTTCGAAGTGTCGCAGTTTCGAAGTGACGCGGAGCCTTTGATTCTTGCATATCAGCATAATATAATGCAACTGAATTTTTGGAAAATTTTTTTCGTTGTCTCATTTTTCTATAAAATGCTATCACTTACAGGAACTTTCTCGAAAAAATGCTCACCGAGTTCACAGCGCACTCAAACAAGAAAACTGTAGAGGAGGTAAAGCTAACAGTCTCCTTATCAGGTCAATGAAGAACAAAAAGTGTGATTCAACGTTTTCTCCGAAATTCCGAGAACACAACAATGACGACGAAACACATAAATGACGAAATGAGTGAAAAGGAAGGAAGTCATTAACAAAAAAACTCAAGCCTTTTTCCCCAGACTGCAAAAATTGAAATAACTTTTTTCCACAATTCACAGAACCCATTCGGAACCTTTTTGTCTACGTCACTGCTCTCCAACTTCCCAAATATTTTCAGGAGCAATCTAACAATTGAAGAAAAACTGAAAGTCTACCAAAAAAAACTGAAAGTCTACCAAGATATACCAAGTTTCAATTTATTCCAAAGTCATGATTACAACAGAACGCATGGTCATGTGTATATCAAAATCGTTGCCATGGGGGTTATTGTAAGATACGTGATTCCTATAACAAAAGAAAAGAAAAAAGAAGAAAAATAAGAAAACAATTAGAGTATCTTAGTTGGTTTAAGAGTCAATTGTGATCACTTCACGACCACTGCCACCGATGAAGAGGACACGTGGCAAGTCTTCGGTGAGGACGTCCAAGTAGGTCTGAAAACGTTTCAGTCAAACAAGATGAAACAAAATATTAGATACCATATAAGAATTGTTGAAAGCAAGTCGGTTTCTTGGTGGAGATGGGAGATTCAATAGAATGAGTTGAGAGTCTGGGGAGTTTTCACGGATCACACGGTTCAATCGGACCGAAGTGTTCATTTTATGGATGTTCAGCTTCATTGCCCCTTCCATATCCTCATTCGGAGTTCCAGATCGGTAGAAGTCATCGAAAAGGCTTCTGAAGTTATGCTATCAACAATTTAGTTTACGAATTTCAAACTAACTCGGTAAATGAAGTCTCGGCTGACTCATCCAAATTAATGGAAGTGTGTGGCTGTGGAGTGAAGCTTCTAGTTGAATCGCTATGTCTCATTTGGATTGGACGGTGTTTCCCATTGTCTTCCATGTATCCGTCATTCAAATATCCACTTTTGCTTCTTCTCATTTCCTCACGCTCTTTTTGTTTTCTTTCCACCTCAGCTGCCTTCTCAACCACTTCATCCGAAACCTCCATATCCAGAAGATCGACAATCTAAAATCAAAATTCAGTTACATTTTTTGTGATTTTATTGCTTACAAAGAGTTCTGCGTCAATTCGTAACATGTAGATGTACTTCTGAAGTCCTGCTTTCATATCCTCCGATTTAGTAGAATCTTGCTCACTGACAGCGAAAATACGAAGAGTACATCCTTTCCAGACTTTGTGTTGACGGAGAAGATACGCAATCAACATCAGAATTCCTCCATCTTGAACAATCCACCAAATGTCAATAAAACCTGTGAGTCTTTCCGAGTATTCAGGGAAGTCGGTGATTCCTTTGGTAACAATAAGACAGTTATCATTGGCAGCTCCGTGGATGATTTCCTCAGCAAACAAAACCAACTCATCCGCATTTTTATCGTTTGGCCAGTTGACAAGAATCGTGTTTGGTCTTAATCCTCCAATACCAATAGACTGATACAGCCCAGAAATGGTTCCATTGATTTGATGGTTGTTGTAGAACATGGTTTTCGCAAACCCACGAAGGCGAACACTTGTCATATCCTTCACTAGAGTGGTCTTCACATCTCTCGCTCTATTTTTATCCTTTTGAGAATCGACAGTTCCTTTCAGAAAAGCACAAGCAATAGCCAATCCACGTCCGGCCTTCAGTTGAGCTCCCAGGTTGAGCATTGAGACTGCTCTTCTGTCAATCATTTCTTTCGACCATTGACTTGTCAGAAGAATCAGAACTTGAGGTCTCCAATTTTTAGGATGCGGATCTTTATCTTCCACTTTTAGAAGACTGTACTGAGCAGTAGACAGAGCCAAACCTCTCATTCCGTCTCCCCATTCTTTCTTGGCTCTGAGAAATTGCTCATTTTTCAAACGATTATGGACAATATCAATATATACAACAACGTATTGTTCAGTTGATTTTCAGCAATTTTTAACAAATTTCAAGAGTCTGGAGCTCTAGTGTCAAGCTTCCGATCACTTTGAAAAATTTAGAGGATGTAAAACAGACCTAGATTGAAAACTTTGCATGTACTTTGAAAACCTTTTTTTGAAAATTCCTACTTTTTCAGCTATTACAATTTTTGGCCTGTTTTGTACTGAAAACGTGTCTTTGAGAAACCGGCAAATAGCTGAAATACTAGGAATTTTCAAGCAATTATATGAATTCAAAGTTTCCAATCTAGGTCTGTTTTCCAACTTCTAAATTTTTCAAAGTGAACAGAAACTTCATAGCCAACCTCAAGACTCTTTAAAATGGCCAAAATACCTGAAAATTGACTGAAAAATATATTTTTGTATATCTTATCGATCGGCACTGTATGTCACTTACCCTTTCCACTCGACGTATTTATAGATGACTGCAGTAGCTGTACAGGCAATACAAGCAAGCGGAACGCTCGATGCGAACATGATGAAGAAGCAAAGCGCAGCTCCGAGTAGAGAAAGGGACCTGAAATATAAGTTTTTCCATTTGAAAAGTAAATTAGATCTACCAGTGAAAGTATTTGAATCTTGGTCTCCAATTTGGTGATTTCAGAATCGAATGGAGGACGGCGATTAAATTAACAAAGGCATAACACATAAGGAAGAAGAAATCCAAAACTTCAGCAATTTTATCCACTGCACCAAGAAGTATTCCACATTCAGCAATGATAACAGTGAGGACCAGTCCAAGAAATGGCTCATTGTTCTTTGTAACTCTTGCGAATGGAGCGAGAATCGGGATCACATCATCCTTGGCGATTGATTGCAAGAGACGCGGCGCACCTGAATCAAACTAGATGTATCGGATATAACCATCGAGCGAATGGTCATGGGATTAGTTTCACTTTCCGCTCTCAGACTAACACAATAAAAAAAGGATGCTTACTGCAAAGACACTGAAGCGCTGCTCCAAAAGTGGAAAGGAATGCTCCAACGGTGACGACGGCGGGATGTGGCCAAGAAAGAGCAGCGACTACCATTGTATTTCCAATTGATCTTCCGAATTTATCTCTCAAAACACTTCTATTGATGGATCCACCGAAGAGAATTGCAAGAGCATAATAGATGGCAGAAGTGGTCAATGTTGCAGCGATTGTTCCAACAGGGATACTTCTTTGAGGATCTCGGAGATCTCCACTCATATTGGTTCCTGTGAAGATTCCAGTTACAGCTGGGAAGTAGATGGCCATGAGCATGAAGAAAGTGGACGATTCGTCTTGTACAACTTCTGCGGTCTCTTTTCCTCTCACTCCTGGTACCACTTCTGTTTTTTCCATGTATTCTGGCCACATATTATCGTTCAAAGTTTTCATATTGAATCCAGGGAACGCCATCTGACATGTCATTTTCTTTGAAGTGTAATGAGTACAGAAAACATCGTCTTCGGCTGAAGCCTCGTCGTTGTTCACATTTGCACAGAAGACACTTTCCAGACTGAAAATGATATGGTTGGATTTGGAATTTGAACGGAATCTTACTAAAGAGATTTGTCACAGAGATTGCAGAAATCCAAAGTTTCATTCGACCAACTCGTCTGATTCTTATGCAATGGATGAGTGATGATTGAGGACTGCAGAAGATGATTGTCAATTGCACACACTCTAAAACACTTTTGGTTGTTAAGAATATATAATCCAAATGGATATACTTCATTCCTTCCATCGTAATCTGCTTCTCAATTCCACCTCCGAAGCAAGCCATGATTGCCAAGACTACACACATCAGCGAAACTGGAGCCAACAGTTGGACAAACTTCACGCCCATAGCCACAATGAGAGCTTGAATCAAAAGAAAGACGGTTCCGTAAAGACGAAGATTGTTGTAAAGCGATCCAAACATTTCCGTGTCATGAAGTGCATCAGCTCCTCCAATTGCCATTTCAGGCCACAAGTACATTAGAATTACTTCAACTCCTCCCACAATGTACATGGAAGCTGCTACTGTATTGGCCAAATAGAACAAGATTCCGACTGCAGATCCGAATTCTGCACCCAAATTTCTGCTGATGATGAAATACGCTCCTCCAGATTCAACGACTCCATTTGTGGCAACAGCGGATAATGAAATTGAGGTCAATAGAGTCTGAAAAACATGATTGATTTACAGTATAAGATATACAAAAACGTATTTTCAGGTATTTTGAAAACTCCTTGACATCTAAAAAATAGGAAATCTATAAATTTGGAAGTTTGATAACTTTCCGAACAAATCGGAGTTCCGCAAATTCAGATATTCTAAAATCACGAGAAGTTTGGAATTTCTGAAAATCAAAGAAAATTCTGAAACCTGGAAATTTTAGACTTTCGAAACTTCAGAAAATTAGAGATTAGGAATTCTAAGAATTTCAAAACTTCAGTTTTTCAGCTGTTTGCCGATTTTCAAATGACACCTCTTTCTGGTTACTTTTTTACTGAAAACGTGAAAATACAGATGTCTCTGAGAAATCGGCAAATAGCTTAAAAACTAGAAATTGTCAAGAAATTACATGAATAAAATGTTTTTAATTAGGCTATTTTTAACCTTCCAAAATTTTCAAGGTGATCGGAAACTTTACAATCGAGATTCAGACTCATGAAAATTGTCAAAATGACCTAAAATTAACAAAAAGATACGTTTTTCAATGTTTTTGCATATTTTTTAGGCTGGTACTGCATGTACAGAATTTCGAGAACATTATTTTTGGCCAAGATGACCAACTGAAAAAAAAACGTTCTTATGCATCTTAGTGACCGGTATGGACAGTGTCATCTGAAATTTGCTTACAGAAAGGCAACAAATGGCAAGAAGGGCCATCGTCCACGCGACTCCGGCCATCCCAACGACCCAGAAAAGACGGATAAACATAGTGACACCAAGAATATGTTGAATGGTGGGTAAGTATACTCCAAGCATCACACCTAAGTTTGCCTGAAAACTTTTCGATTATTTTTCAACTTATTCTTCGTAAGCCAACTCACTTTCACATGCTCAGAAGTTGCTCTTTCTTTGGGTCCAGGTGTCGTATAACCCGAAATGAAAGAGGCTTGTGTCCCGATGCCCTCATCCTCTTTGTACAATGCCAGATGGCCGAGACTTGTCGTGAATTTTCGATTACCTTTGTAATCCGCCGGGGTGCCATCCTCCCCGACCGTTTCCATTCGCCCTGAAATTCAAGAAATTAAAAAAAAGTTATATTTCAACACTCGAATGTAAAGAACTGACCTCCTCCCTTTCCCATAGCTTGGAGGCCTTCTGTATTAATCTGTGTCACCGTACTGAAACGGCGCCTGGAAGAGAAAGGGATAAGAAAGAATTTCAGATAAATAAAAAACCTATGACATATAATCTACTCACCAGTTGTCATGTAGGTGCAAAATGAGAATCTAAAGTCAGAAAGTATGAAGTGACCTATGCCACTCTGCGTCTCCTGTGACGTGGCAATTCAGAACTCATCGAATCGACTCGAAATTGATAATTGCCTTTGCAAGAGAGGAATCTCTCGCCAACGCATTGTACTTGCATTACGGTGATTTATCAAAAAATGGTTGGCGGCTGCCATCCCCTCATAACTTTTTCTCTATTTCTTTTAGTTCGATATACTTTCTATTGGTAATTCGGGATCCGCAAAAAAACAACTAATAAATCACCGAGTTTTTAATGAAGAACCAAATGAGTTTCTCATCAAAAATTGTGTTGAGATGATTGATTGAAATATGTGATGGTGTCAAAATTAGAGAAGATAATTATCACATGATATGCCTGATTTTTTTGGATGATGGGGCGGGGGGGTTGGGCAGTTTTTGGGTTCTATTTATTATGAGAAAAGGTTGACAAATTGGTTAAAGTCATTCTGATGTAAAACATACCGTATTTTCTCTAATAAATGCCGAGCCAAACTGTCATCTTTAAGCTTAATTATCTCGATTCCTGTGAAAGTTATCAAAAAATAGTCAACTGATAAATTATTTATCATAATATCAAAATTTTTTATCAGTTAACAATTTTTGATAACTTTTACAGGCATCGAAATAATTGAGCTCAAAGTTGACTGTTTGAGTAGGCTTATATTATTTGAAATACTGTAACTGCGCATCCAGTTCTTAAATCTGGGATCTCTGGACTCGGAAAGCAGTTAAAAGAAACGCCCAGATTCTCAATTTTTCAATTAGCACTGTTGAAACCAATGCGACAGTACCCAGAAATACAGATTTGAGAACTTTGGAAGCGGCACAAGCTTTCATTTCTTTTGAAAATTCTCAATATCAAAACACAAACGGTAGCTAATTCCAAAAAAATTCGGAAATATTACGAACGGAATTCGAAATTTTGAATTTCGTTCCGAGCATGCCTCTCCAAATCTCACACTGATTTGAAAATCACGAATCACTAAATTTTGAAACGAAACAGAAGTTACCGTAAAACCTGTGTTAGAAAACCCGCCCATTGTTCTAAAGTATCTCCGGGTCCATCCCTTACATAGGCTCTTCAATTAGAGGGGATTCCTTCTATTTTTCCGGTCATTTTTTGTTCCGGAAAATTTTCAGTGGAGTTCTCTCTCAAAATCCATGAAAATCTGTCAATTTCCTCAAAATTGAGCAAGTTTTCGAACAAAAAATAGTTTTTCAACAAATTTCTGTGAATATGTGGTATTTCCGAAATATTTTTCACTGAAAACGTACTGAAATTTTTAATATCAAACAACACATATTGAAAGGAGCCCTTCTATTACAGGGGACCACTCTTTTAATTATATCAACTAACCTCAAGTTAACAGCAATATACAATCAGCATTTTCAATAATCATTATTCTCAAAAAAAAAGAAACACTATGCATACTTTTTTTTCATTCCATTGTTCTATTTATTAATTACTGTCCCCATCAAACCGGTGAGTAGAATAAGCAATTATAACAACAAAACATACTAACCTTGCATTCGACATGACTGTCCGACGTAGATCCTGAAAATATTTTCTTTGTGCTGAAAAACGAGATTTTGGTTTCAGAAAAACCACACAATGAATGTTTTTTGATTGAAATATGAATAGGCGGGTTTTTCTGGGTCTATTGATATGCAAAATCATTTGAAGTTGATAACAAAAGAAACAAGGTTTGATTTTGAATTTTTCCAAAAACTTTTCAAAAGAAAAAAATGATCAAATCGGTTTTTTCGAATGAACTGAATGGGATTTGATACCGAACTATTCGATTTTGTTTTCGTCCCCTGTTTTGTTTCTGGATCAATCGTTTTTATCCTCATTCCACACAAAAAAACTAGATGCAATATAACAAAAAGTAACTGTTCTTTTTTTCAGAACTTTTTTTGGTTCAGTGGAAGCACAAACAAAAAAAACATGAAGATATATCCAGTTACTGACCGTTTTTTGGGTACATGACGGTAAATGGGCGCATGTTTTTTATTCGAATATCGAGTTAAAATTTGATGGGCGCAGAGACAACGGAAAAAGGGATTACCAAACAAAAAGTTTGATGGAAAGGGAAAGGATACAACATCTGTTTTGTTCATCTGGTGAAAGTTTGCCGTTTGGAACTTATTATCGTAAAACCTGTAATAGAAGGGCCTCACTCTGTCAGGTTTGAGCTAATTTCTCTTGGTTCCTGTCAACTATATCGAAAATGTGTCAACCGATAAAATGTTTGTAATATTTTGATACGACAACTTTTAAATATCTTTGACAGGAACTAAATTGAACCAAAGTTAAAGGTAAGGAGCCTTTTACAGGTTTTACGGTATAGCCTTGTTAAGAATTGGTTTGCAAGATATGTGAACACAAAATTATGAAAGAAATCGGGAAACGGGTAGTGAAGTGCACTAATTAGCTCCCCCCAAAATTTGAAACACTTTTCAGTGAAATTCCAGATTTTCTTCCGGTGGCTACAAAGCTCCAGATTTTCCAATTTGTAAGATTTCGAATTTCATTACAGAAAAAAAATTGGAAAAAAAGTTCTGCAACATAAAAAAAATTTCCAGAATTCGTGAAATGCAAACGATCTGCAAAAGGTAGGAACTATGAAATGCTGCAAATGTTTTCGAATTTTTTTCGTTAGAATTCGAGTTTCTGATCTATAAATTTGAATACCGGAAAACCTGTAATAGAAGAGCCCCCGAACTTCTAACTTTGGGCCTTTTTCTCAGTTCCTGTCAAAGATATCAGAAAATTGTCAATTGATAAAATGTTTCCTATATTATGATAAGCGGAATTTATCAGCTGACGACTTTGTAATATCTTTGACAGGAACGGAGAAAAATCAGCTCAAAGTTAGAAGTTGAGGGGCAATTCTATTACAGGTTTTAAGGTAACAGTATTCATAATTTCATAATTTTCAAGTTCTTGTTTTTGAGAGTTTTTCCTTATTTTTGAATTTCAAAAATCTCACGGAAGTTGTTTTTTCTCGAAAACATCATCCTTTATCTCATCTGATATACTCGGTGTTTTCAAGTTTTATCCGGTTCATTATCTGACCAATTTTTGATCAATGACCCCATCCACCAATTATTCTTCTATTTCAAGGTTTGAGATCTTTTTTTAAAGTGGGCGGATCATAAGATTACTTCACGGTGACTGACTACTAAGTTTTCGTTGAAGCATTTCAGAAGTTTTCACTACGTGAGGAAGTTCGAGTGTTCAAAGAAGTCTTCTGAGAATTCTGAGAATTTCTAGGTGATTACCAAAGGGCGCGGGAATTGTTTTTGTTCACGACATTCTGAGAATCCGTCAGGCTCTTTTCAAAAAAAATTTCCACTTCTTCTCGATATTCTCAATTCCCGATGGATGAACGATCTAACTATTCAAACCGTTTCGTACCTTATGTCAATGCATATTTCCAATTTTATCTTCTAGCTGGACTCACGTTTCAGTTCATCCTTCTCTATTTAATTCGAATGAAGTCACCAGCTAGTTTAGATCAATTGAAATATTTTCTTTATAACACATCATGTGTTCAAATTTTAGAAATTCTGTGTGGCTATTTCACACAACACAGGTATATTCTTTGGTGGAATTTTCAAAAAATCAAGAAGATTTGAAGATCTCTTCCAAACAGTACTACATTCGCTGTACTTGCAAACGGACCGTGTCGTTATTTTGGTCCAGCTGTATGTTTTAGCGGATATCATATTTTCTTGGTAGGTTATAGTCTGTGATATTACATTTCCAGTTTTTCCAAAAAAAAAATGTTCTTCAGGGAGTCACTTTCTGTGTAGCATTGTCCATATCTAATACAGTAGTCTACAGATTTCTAATATTGAGGAGAAGGGATATCACCAAAAGGCATCTCATTTACATTATCATATTTTCCTATATCCCTGGAATAGTCACAATGGTGAGAAAGCCTTCAAGAACATAGTATCCATTAATTATTCCAGATAATTCCCTTCACAGATAATTGGGATTTCCCTGTGGCAACTAACCAGACATATTCAGAACATCCCACTTATAATCTATCCTATTATGTCCCATTCTCGGGTTTTGCAAACATCAACAGCTCCCAATTTTTAGCAGCCACTGCTGTTCTAGCTATTGGAGCCTATGGGATTCCCATGTGCTCATTTCTTCTGACACGAAGCATTTTGAAGCTAATTCGAGCACATAGTAATTTGCCGACTCGCACCAAAGCACAGGCCAAGACACTAGTTCATGTGAGTTTAAAAAAAAGAAATTATTTTTGAAAGAAACATCTAGAACGGGCATGAAAAGATGACGAAACATCCACTAAAATGTGTGAATCGTTTCAAAAAATTCACATGTTTTCATGAAAGTTTCCAGGGACTAGCTTGTCAAATTCTGATTCCTCTTCTATGCTACATCCCAATATTTTCGGTTTACTCGTATTCTCAACTTAATGGAAAAGAGAATCTTGCTTCTGAACATCTTCTGATGATTCTAACATGTCTTCCTGCTCTTATTGACCCATTTATCTCATTCTACTTCGTAGTTCCCTACAGAAATGCTCTTCTTCGAGTAATTATTAATCGAAAAGAAGATGAAAAGACGAGTACAATGGCAATGCCATCTACAGTATCCATTCGACAAATTTCTGTCAATGTAATGTCATAATTATTTAATAAAGATCTTTTATGAACAAATAACGTTTAACAAAGATAACTCACCTGGAAACCTCCCATGGTTCCGGATCAAATCGACCAAACGGTGCGAATAATTCGTCGATAAATGTACAATTTTTCAAGCGTGGCACATACACAGCCCAACAGATAGACACATAAAAGGCGCGATTCGAAACGATTATCCAGCCGACCGGCGGATTTCGGTAATTTCTGACATATTCATATAATAGTATACAAGAATTGAGGGACACACAGAGAGAGACAGTGACAAGATCCACATGACAGCGAACACAACAAATTTGTCCGTTTTTTACTACTTTACAAAAGTCACAAAACATGTACTCTTGTGAAACGCTAATCGAGAAATAAAAAGACAGAACATTAAACAGTTTTCAGGCTCGCCTTCAACTCTGATTCGAATTGAAGGTTCCGCGTCACTTCGAAACCACTCATTTTAAAACCGTGGGAATACAGGCGAACGGATAAACTTCGGACTACAAGAACAATTTTAGGGCTTTAAAATATATTTTTGGACAAATTCTGAAATCCGAAAATAAAACATTTGATCTGTCCAAAAAATCGTTTTTTAATGAATTTTAGAGTTTCTGAATGTGCTCTATGGGAAAATGCATATTTGAATCCCCTTCAAATTGTTCTTGTAGTCAGGAATTTATCCATTCGCCTGTATAACCACGGTTTAGAAATGACTAGTTTTGAAGCGTCGCAGTTTCGAAGTGACACCGATGATAAAAATAAAATATTCCAATAACTCGTTTAAATAAAATGAAATTTTCAAAAGAAAAGAAACACAGTAGACTGTTGTTTTTACTTTCTGTGTTTGAGTTTGTGCTTGTAGCTTTTTCTGTTTGTATTCCAGTAGCCTGTCAGACAACCTCTGAAATTCGAAAAACTGTCTTTTGGAGGCCTTCAATTCGTTTCATTTTGGTTTTCTTGTAGGAAGATATTCAGTTTCCGGCCTGCAAAATAAGTCATCAGAGCATGCATAAAATTGTGCAAAAAAGAAGATGAGGAAATATTTGTAAAATGCAAAGAAAAAGTAGCATGTTACATTGATGGATGGTTTTTAAAAATTTACTGGAAATTCATTTATATGGATGGGGGACATTAAGAAAAAATAATTGTCTCGAAAATCCGTTCACAAAAAATTCTGCATTTGCCCTTTGATGATTTGAACTTGTGGAACCACAGTTGAGGGCAACTGAAATTCAAAAATTGTGGTGCGCGTTCTTCAAAAATCCTTGAGTTTCGAATGTCAGTCAATTTCGTTAACTATAATTGAAAGTTTTTGTGTCTTTCAAAGATATCTCCTCGTTGTCAGGAAATTCTGAGGTTTGAACCATCTTTTTTCTGAAGAAAAATTTGAACCATCTATGAGTTACCCAGAGAATTTGGGACTTAGGTATTTGGGAGTTAGTTAAAAGCAAGATATCTGCATCGACTGACTAATTGTTTGATGATTATGATCAACAATTTTTTGTGATATTATGATCAACAATTTATCAGTGGACAACTCTTCTATATTTTTGACAGGGACCGAGATAAATTGGCTCAAAGTTAAAGCCCCCTCCTATTACAGGTTTTATGGTATATGAAGTTGTGAATTGTAGTTTTTCTCCTTCTCATATCTAACAATTATGTCGAGGATAGACCGGGAACAGGCCGACCATGAAAGCTATGCTCAAGACAGACACCCCTAATTGCTCTTGTTGCTCGTTGAAAATCACCTGAGCTCTCTAGGGATCCGTTGTCCGACGTCTTCAACATTTCCATCATTATCATCGTCTAGAAAAGTACTTCTCAACTGACCGCTCAGCCTGCTCACTGATCAAATTTTGGTTTTTTTTTCAAAACACTTATATTTACGACTACTACTATATCCACCCCCACTATAAGGTATTCTCTGATACACTGCTCATTTTGACTCTACGTGATTAGCTCCACCTATTCATTCGAGTGTGAAGAAGTGTGAGAATAGCATTTGACTTATTAGAGTCTTCGAAAGAAATTGAAACTATAACCTATATACTAAAGGAAAGAAACCCCTCCAAAGGCTATAATGTCCGATTCGAACCGCTTCGTTATCTACTTCGATATTTATTATTACTTCTACTTTTTTATTGGTATCCTTGCCCAAATAGTTCTCCTTATTCTAATCAAAAAGAAAAGTCCACCGAGCCTCGACAGTTTTCGATACTTTCTAATAAATACATGGATTGTACAGTTTTCCGTTCTTTTCCTGACCTTCTTCCACCAGATAAGGTAAAATTTCATACTAAACATCATGTTTTATCCATCTTCTTTCAATTCTAGATGTCTTCCGAATTCCACCACCTACGCAGTCCTTCCACGTGGACCATGTAGACTATTAGGACCGAATGCTTGTTTTGCCGGTTATCACATATCACTTGCAGTGTCTATGGGAGTTGCGTTATCTATTGCCAATACTGTACTATTTCGATATCTGCTTCTGAGATTCCATGGATTCGGGAAAAATCACTATCTCACTATGATCGCACTTTGTTATATTCCAACTGTTTTCTTAGCGGTTCGTTCGTACTTTGCAGTATCGAACCAACCCAGTTTCTTTTTTCAGATTGTCCCATTTTTGGATAAATGGGATTTTCAAAAAGCGCGATCGTTTACCTACAAAGCACACTCCACATATGACTTCTCAATCTATGAACCATTTCCTGGGTTCTCTAACATTCAATCAATTCCATTTCTCACTGCAACTGGTGTAGTTGCCATCGGAGCATACGTGATTCCATTCGGCTCTTTCTTTATAATATTTTCAATTTCATCTCTAATCAAAAGGCATACAAGTATGTCAGACAGAACAAAGGAAGTTGCCAAGATGATGGTTAAAGTATGTTTGCACTTTCTTGTCCCAAATGAAAAACATTATCATTCCAGGGTCTGGCATTTCAAACTGTTTTGCCCTTCTTATCCTACACACCGATTGTTTCCTTCTACCTTTATTCCCAATTCACTGGAGAAGAGATGCTCCTGACTGAACACTTCCTGATGCTTTGCTCTGGATTTCCTGCTCTATGTGATCCATTCATTTCGTGTTACTGTATTCTTCCGTATCGTCAAGCCATCATCAAATACATTTCAAGAAAAACAAGACGGGGATCTGGAAGTAGTCGGTCAAAAGTGTCTACAATAGACGCACGCTCTGTTAACCTTCATTTATTTTGACATCTTCTTTCTATTTTTAGAAAAATGAAGTACATTTGTGTTTCTAAGAAACTACTAGAGCGTTTTCTGATTTAAGCAAAAGTTTATTTTAACAACTACATAGAAGCTTTCCTAGATATTTTGTCAGAATTCTCATTATATCCGACGTCAGATGGTACGATTCCAGAAGAATCTAAACATTGAACATCTGATCCTAAATTCAAAGTTCAGAGAAACTAAGCAAGATCAGTGAACGATTGCACAGCTTTCCCATGAGAAATAAAAAAAACACAAATTCGGCATTTCTGGGTCACATTTCCTTGTGGAATGAGTCAACATAGAAGGTCACCATGGTGTGCTTGAATGCGAACTTGTCCAGGGAACCAATTGGGAATCCTTCAATTGGGAATAGAGTTCTATGGAAGCTAGAAAAGTTCTCAACTGACCTCTCTATGTGCTCCCTGATCAAGAAAAGATCACCAATTCTAATGCAGCTAGTTTAGTTCCGTCGACAATGGAATTCATTCCAGGGCATTCAAGAAGCTTGAACTCTGCAGATCTATCTGTTTTCAACGATCAATTGACTGTGAGAGCCGACGTAATATGTATCGGCAACACGGGTCCCTTTTTCCGAACATATCAGCAACAAGAGCCACGTATTCTTGTCATTCAGCCAACATCTTGGCTCGTTCCATTTCTAATTGGTGAATCATGGCCACACTACAAAAAACAGAAAATATCTGAACACACGGATGCTTGTCTGTAGAAGCAGATCTGAATGGTTTTAACTCGAAAAAAATCGAATAGAATCTTGAGTAATTTCAGCAACTACTGTGTAGTTTTACTTTTAAAAGTTAATATATTGTGTGGTCGATTTAAAATTGTATATTTTGTTAAAGGAGGACAAGAGATTTTTAAAAATTTTTTGAAGTCAAGGGACGCATTCTGCCGTCACGGTGTACAGCATTTAAAACGTGAAAAAAATAGGGGTGTGTCTCGGAGGGAATTTCACCAGAATAAGGTTTCACATCCTCATCTTCGTACTTGAATGTTTCATGGATCAACGTAATTCTTGAAAAGCCCTGAGAAAATAACACAAAAGCAGACGAAAACCAAAAAATAAATTTTACAATTAAACCAGGTCGAGTATTCTGCAGTTCGTCCACTGTTTTATACGTGTAGTGTTATCATACTTCATTTATTGAAGCACGAGGGGAATTAGACAAGTGGTCGCAATACATTGTGACCAGTTCTATTGATAGTTGACATTACACGATAAAAACTAAAAATTCTATGAAATGCCTTTTTTTTTTCAAGCAAAGACTTCATGAAATAGTCCCACTGCTGCTCTCCATGATCTTTTAGCCGCTTTTTCATTGTATCCGACTCCTGGAGCATTAAACTATCTGCTTCTGGCTCAGTGAAGGCATGCATTGCTTTCGCGTGAGAGACGAATACAAAATCCGCCTGACGAGTTCTCATTTCCTCATGGAATCCATCGACCTGATCTTTGGCAATATGGAAATCCGCATCTCCGTGATGAACTTGTACAGCTGTCGCATTGATTGGGTCAAGTGGCAAATCCGGAATTGGTTTCAATGTTCCATGGAAAGACACAACTGCCTTCAAAGGAGCATTGTATCTAGCCAAATCGAGAACACAAAGTCCTCCAAAACAGTATCCCATTGCTGCCACCTTCGATTGATCAACTTCGGAGAACGTCTTCAAACTTTCCAAAGCAGCAAACAGTCTCGATTTGAGTTTCTCAACACGATTCGAAACAAGTGGGCCCATTGTCGCAAACGCCTCTGCTCTCTCCGTTGGTCTCACTCCTTTTCCGTAAACATCAGCGACAAAGGCAAAGTAGCCAAACTGAATTGTTTTGATACTGATCATTTGAAATTCGTATCAACTTACTTCTGCCAATTGATTCCCTCTCTCTTTCTCGAATTCAGTGATTCCTCGGAAGGCTGGAAACACCAAAACGGCTGGGACTGCTGAGTTTTTGGCATTTCTAAAAGAAAAATGTGTGGAAAATTTTGGCTTCAGTGAACTCACTCTGGGATGTAGACAACTCCCTCAAAATGGTTTCCATCCGCATCTTGATAATCGATAAGTTTTGAAGTAACGGTCATCTCGAAAGGAAGAAATAGTAGAGTGAACTATCAGTGACTGTTAATATACACATTTTGATGTTTGTTGATGTCTGCGTATCTTCTCATATTCATCATAACTCACAGGTCACACTCCTTTCTCTACTTCTCTTCTTTTTCTCTAAATTGGTCAATAAAACACATTATCGAAATAGTTCTTGCATCAAACCAGACTTGCAACGGACCGGGCCGGCCCTTTTCATAAATTTAAAGGTTTCTGAGTTTCCGAATTTTCAAATTTCAAATTTTCGAATTAACGAATTAGGACTTTAGAGGAATTTCGAAATTTCTGAGTTTCCGAATGTCCGAATTTTAAAATTTTTGAGTTACATACTAAAGCCGAAAAAAAATTTGAGTTATGACCTAGAAAAATTAGGTCATGACCTAGAAAAATTGGGTCATGACCTAGAAAAAATTGGCTCATGACCTGGGAAAATTCAGGTCATGACCTAGAAAAAATTGGGTCATGACCTAGAAAAAATTGGGTCATGACCTAAAAAAAACTGAGTTATGGCCTAGAAAAACTTGGGTCATGACCTAGAAAAATTGGGTCATGACCTGGGAAAATTCAGGTCATGACCTGGGAAAATTGGGTCATGACCTGGGAAAATTGGGTCATGACCTAGAAAAAATTGGATCATGACCTAGGAAAAATTGGGTTATGGCCTAGGAAAAATTGGGTCATGACCTAGAAAAATTGAGTCATGACCTAGAAAAAGCTAGGTCGTGACCTATTCTGCTTAATATTTGAAAACAACGTTTATACCGTTTCCATTATTTCTATTTCTTGTTTCACGTTCAGTTTCCATGAACTCTCCTCCATTTTTCGAAATGCCTTTTCAGTTCCAAGAAAAAAAAGAAAAAAATGAGTTGAACACTTTGAACTCAATTATCTCGATTGCGACTGTTTATAAACGAAAATTTCGAAAACAATGTTTATTTTATGTTAAAATCGAAAGAAAAATCGAATTTACGTAAAGCAAATCAATCAACTAAATTAAAATGCTTCTTTGAGCAACGAAAGTGTAGCACTCCACGAACGCTTTGCAGCTTTTTCGTTGTATTTTACTCCAGGAAGGCCAAAAGAATCAGCTTCTGAAAAACAAAATTTTCTTAAATGTCATATTTTCTTATTCTCACCTGGCTCAGTGAATCCGTGTTCCGCGAATGCATGACTAGAAAAAACAAAATCAGCCTTTCGAGCTCTCATCTCCTCATGGAATTCGTCCACTTGCTCCTTTGGAATATGAGAATCCGCATCTCCATGATGCGCCTGAATAGCTGTTCCAATGATCGGATCAAGAGGAACGCCTGGTAGTGGTTTGAGGGTTCCATGGAAGGATACAACCGCCTTGAGGCCAATGTTGTATCTGGCGAGATCTAAAACACAAAGTCCTCCGAAACAGAATCCAATAGCTCCAATCTTCTGAATATCGATGCATTGAACGGTCTTAATTGCATCAACTGCTGCAAGAATCACCGGCTTCAGCTTCTCAATTCTCTCTGAAACCAATGGTTTAACAATTCCAAAACACTCCATCTTATCCGTGGGACGAATTCCTTTTCCGAATGGATCAGCAGCCAAAGCAATGTATCCTTCCTAGAATACCTTATTATTTTTTAATCCAGTTTCAACTGTATCACCTGCGCAAGAGCTTTCCCTTTCCCTTTCTCGAATTCAGTGATTCCGCGGAATGCCGAGTAAACTACGACACCTGGAAGCTTCCTCATTCCAGTTGTTCTGAAAAAAAGCTCAGATTTTAGATTTTTTGGAACAAATGTTTACAATAACTGCAGGGCAATAAACAATCACAACAATATCTTTAGTTACCTTGCATTCGTACAAGAGGAAAAACAATCTAGGCCAGACTCTACTTTCCTAAAAATATCCGAATTCCTCTAAAAGAAAAAATGGCAAACCTCGGAACATAGAGATCTCCTTCGTAGACTTTTCCATTCGAATCCTGATACTGTAGAAGACTATGAGAGACCGACATCTTCTAGAAGACACACCAACGAAACAACCAATCCTTTTCGGGGACCTTTTTATACAATGCACTTGCTTTTTGTTTGCTTCTCTCCGACTCTTTATCTCTCTTAGGAGCACAAATTAAGGTCACAAAATTTTGTGACTAACTTCATCAAAGTTTCGAAAACAGTCGTACGAGACGGTTGGATCACAATTATTACGGTATTTTGGATAAAGAAAATGTGTGAGATATAGTCACAAAATATAACTGATATAGGAAAGGGGGTTTTTTTTAATCGTCGATTTTTTTTCGAAAATCCAGAAAAGTCTGTGACAATTAGACAGATCTCATTACTTAAATTATAAAAAGTGTACACTATGTTGAATTTTGATGAAAAAAAACAGAGATGTAGGAATCTCAATGATTTTACATTCATTATGATTTTTATTCATTTATCATTAATTTATTCATGTTCACGTGAAAAATATTTATTTAGATCATCAAATATAAAAAATAGAAGATATTTAAAAAACACAGAAAGGAAGGCACTTCTTTTCTGTGTAGAAAAGAATAGACACGTAAAAAGACAGAAAAGAATCAACTTCCTTTCTGTGCTTTTTCTGTGTGGAGAAAAATAATTCAAATTATTCCTGATAACTACGTGAACTTTAACCATACTGAGTTAAAGCTTCTTTGAACGTGGAGTTGAAACAAAAACTCGAGAAGGTGAATTTGAGTGGTGAGCTGAAGTGATGGCGGATTTGAAAATTGGCGACATCCACTGTGAGTACTTGATACGAACCTGTTCAGGATCTCATTTTAGCTGCTGGATTACTTTTCAGAATCATAAATTGATAAATAACTCTGAGAATGCACTTTACCGGAACCGAACTTTGGTCCTCCAGCATTAAAAAGAATCGAGCATTGAACAGGTTCGTATCAAGTACTCACAGTGGATGTCGCCAATTTTCAAATCCGCCATCACTTCAGCTCACCACTCAAATTCACCTTCTCGAGTTTTTGTTTCAACTCCACGTTCAAAGAAGCTTTAACTCTATATAGTTAAAGTTCACGTAGTTATCAGGAATAATTTGAATTATTTTCCCCCACACAGAAAAAGCACAGAAAGGAGGTTGATTCTTTTCTGTCTTTTTACGTGTCTATTCTTTTCTACACAGAAAAGAAGTGCCTTCCTTTCTGTGTTTTTTAAATATCTTCTATTTTTTATATTTGATGATCTAAATAAATATTTTTCACGTGAACATGAAACAGGAAAAAATTTCCTTCTAAAGTCAACTCTATTTTTGACTAAATTTGTAAGGAAAAAAACAGATCACAGTGCTTTCATTGCCTCGAATATATTCTCTGGAAAACCACGGAAAAGCTAATTTTTTACGAAAAAAATCGAAGTTTTAAAAATTTTGAAATTCCCCCTTTCCTATATTAAGAAATACACACATTGTTTCAGAAAATCTACATAAGCGCGGCGCGATTTCGTCCCCCGAACTGTCCCCCGAAATTTTTGCTGTCTCGCCTCCTTTAACCCTTGAAATTTGCCATCCAACTACGATTTTTAGAAAACAGTCGGCACTCTTCTAGAATCACGGAACGAACGAAAAATCACGGAACGAAAAAAAAAACACGGAACGAAAATTTTGGGTAATCCAAAAAATTTCTATCTTCTTCACTTTGACAAGTTTATATCCGTAATACTAACTTTGGCATCAATTTTACTTTGTCCAATACCCAAAAGTACACTAAAAAGGGTTTATCAATTTCTTAAGATACTCTAGTTAACAAGTTACATAGGACCTGTAGAACATCTGAAAATTCTGTTTAAAGCTACATCAAACAGTTATTGAGTTTGCTGACATTTTAGGGTGTTCCAGGTAAAAGAAGCATGGCGTTTCAGCCGAAGCCTGTGATTGAAGAAAGCTTCCTCAATCCAAAAATATTATAGACTTAGGCTGAATCATCGTGTTTCCTTCATGTGGTACACACAAAAAACGAGGGCAAGTTTAATAACTCTGCTCGTTGCAGCCTCTAATCTAACTCCCATATGTCCCATGATTCCCAGAACATCTGGGAAAGGTCCATGTACACTATCAACTAGTGTACCTTAAAGACTCAATATACCACATTTCGGGTGTCATTTTGGATACTGAGCAAAGAAAATGTAATGTCAAAGTTAGATCTCAGGATAGTACTTGAATGAAGGTCCTAGCAATTTTTGGATTACCCAAATTTTTCGTTCCGTGATTCTAGAAGAGTGCCAAACAGTCTACGAATTTTTCGATTCTCAAAGCGAACGACTTCTCTCTCACCCATCAATCGACATCCTTATCTATGTGAATTATTGTGTGAATTGTGTGAATTATTACCTGTATAAATGTGACGTTCGATAGAGCCTCTCTTCACATTTCCCCGAAAAATCAAAAACTTTTCGTTTTGCAATAAAATCATTATGATCATTAAACCCCTTCGTTTGGTTTCATTCGAAAAAATCATGTTTCTGGCTACTGTACTCGCTGTTCTCATCACTTTTTCCACGGCTACAATCACCCAAACACCTCCAGATGCCGCTCTTGAATGTGATATCGTTCCAGTTCAACCATGTCCAGTAACATGTGGTGGAGGATTCCAGCTGATGAGATATGAATGTGTTGAAAAGACTGAAAACTGTGGTTGTCCGTGAGTTATAATCAAGGATTAGGGGGAAATGAAGAAATAGATGTTTTCTAGAAAGAACCCAATTTATTATCAATGCAACAATCGTCCATGTCTCGGAAAGAATGCAACACTTCTCGATGTTTTCTACGATGAAGAGAACAAAGAAGCAGAAAAGGCTGGAGTCGAATTTGTGGAAGACAGTGGAGAAGCTACTCATCAATAAAGAGATCAGAGAGAACATGTTATTTTTGTGTTGACAGATGTGAATAAATTATGGAGAGAAATGTTAAACCCATAAAAGACTTTTTTGTATAAAAATAAAACATTAGAGCATTGGGGTGTGTTCCTTCGGTTCAGAATCTGAGTCTTCATCAAGGAAATCGTTGAGGCTTGGCTTTGAAGGAGACGCCAGATGAGGTGGGATCTTTGGAAGTTGACGACGTGGAATGGTTGGTGTTAGAATCGGGAACGACATTCCAGGAACGTCGGCAATCTGGAATAAAACTTTAGAATCAAGAAACTTCGGAAAATTGATTCTCGCCAGGTTGATAGTGTGATACAGTGGTCTTTGTGGGCGTGGCTTGGCCCGCTTTGCAATGAATTCGTTGATTGGAATAATCTCTGGATTCAGCCATACATAGAATATTGGGTTGAGAAGAGTGCTGACACGACTGATGATTACTGGAACCACGATGTAGTGTATTTGGTGAAAATCCGATTTCATTGGGTTGAGACAGACAACCGAGTAGGCGAAAAACGGAAGCACTGATACTAGAAGACATCCGAGACCAACTTTAGCCACGTGGTTTCTGGGCGCCCATGTGCAAACTTCTGGTTTTGGAACGCCATTCTCCAATTGGACTTCAGAAGAGTTTTGGCTGTCGACATGATCAATTATACTGTAATAAAGAGAAGAAGCAATGCAGACAGGAATCAGGAAGAAGACGAGACACGTGGCAGTCAAAAAGGCGATGTAACGAGGGCAGAGAGTCGGGATTGCTCAGATTCCGGTTCAATATTCCCCTGTCTCCAGTCGATAGAACAGAACATATCGTCATGAAAAGTACTGTACTTTCCGTATCCAGCAGTTGGCACGAAACTCCAGAAACCAACAATGATCGCTGCGAAGAAGATGATTTTGAAATAGTTCGAATGACATCTCCATTTTCCCCATTTTGGTGTAATCGTAACAATGTATCGGTCGAATGCAATCATGCAGGCCAGCAGAACTTCCACCAGGGACAACGTCATGTCAGCTGCTCCATAGAAAACACAGCTCCATTCCGAGAACGTTCCCCTAAAATTAAAACTCTTTTCTTCTTTCCATTTTGCGTCATAACTTCTATATTTCCTCTTCATATACAACGCTATTATACTTGTTTCGCCGATAATTGCTCGATAAATAACTGCAGTCTAGACAGAATGAAACTTTTTTTTTTCTGTTTTCTGACTTTTTCCCTTATGTTTTATGTCATGGTACCCTTTCCAAAAAAAGTTCAATTACTTCCGGTACCGCAATGAAACTCCTTTCCCCCCTCACATAGTGCTCTTATGAATAATTCCCCCTGAAGCCAAATGTATGAAGGAAAACCAAAAATTTTTGTTGGGCAGAAAGCAAAAAAGGAAACTGCACATCCATTCTTCTCTTTGGTCGCCCAAAAAAGTTAAAAGAAAAAGTTAAACCCTGTAGGATTACTGGGACTCACTTCTCCATCAAAAAGTTGTGGATTGGGACGATGAGTTGGGCGGACATGAGCACATCGACGACGAGAAGCCAAACGAGTGGTTGAAGACTTGCATTGTCCCTGAAAAGATACGGTGAAAAAAAAATAGAATCCCCTTTGAAATGGGCGATTGAAAGGGTGGAAGAAAGAAAAGAGAATGGAAGGAGAGGGCTCTTTTCAGAACGGGAAATTGAAAAGATTGATGGGTTACCATTTGGGGCGACGGATGTATATTAGGTTGACATGGCTGAAATGGGTTTCCGATGAACAAAACCGAAAACAAGATAAATTGTTGTTATTTTCCAGAAAAATCATCCTAGATTCGTTGGAAGTTTTGACCTATCGTAAAACCAGAAATAGAAGGCCCCCCACACTGTGAATTTCAGCTCTATTATCTCAGTTCTTAAGCAAGACATCAAAAATGTGTCAACTGAAAAAAACACTTCTGATATCATGATAAACATTTTATCAGTTGACAATTCTTTTTGTATCTTTTACAGGAAACAAGAAAAATCGGTTCAAAGTTGATAGTTAAGGGGCACTTCTACAGTACGGGTCAAAACGTAGTCCACTTTAGGGTTTTCGAAATAACTATTTTTCAAAAGCCGGTATGAAGCCAAAATTCTCACCTAACGTTTCTGAAAACGTTTGACGGATTGTGACCAAATTTCATACAAAAAAATATAAAATAATCATTTTTAGTCAATTAATTGAAAAAACAAAATTTGACATTAATTTTTCAAAAATCATAACTTTCGAAAAAAGCTTTTATTCGACATATAACAGCCAAATACTAACAAATTAAGTCTAATACTTTGTTGCAAAGCTTCGGAAGTATATGTTGAATAATTTTTCAAAAGTCATGATTTTCTGAAAAAGAGGTAAAATTTTTAATATTTTTCGAAAATTCAATTTTTCGAATTAAAAATTTTTTTAAATTATAAAATTTGGCCACAATCCGTCAAACCCTTTCAGAAACATCTGGTAAACATTTTGGATCCATACCGGCTGTCGAAAAATAGTTATGCTCGAAAACCACAAAGTGGAGTATCTTTTTACAGTATTTCCAAAAAATTGATAATTCCATATTTTTCTAAAAACACGGTCCCTCTGGTAGCCAGTTAGTCTCTGCTCAAGTACATGAAAACATGTGCGTCAAGCACATGAAAAAATATGCGAAAAACATAGAAATAGAAGATTGATTTGCGTCGGCTAGTAATACATAAATGCATAAATACCAATATCAAATTTCAGGTGAAAGTTATTTTTTGGTCGAATGAGTGGAGTCCAACCAACTTCCTACTTACCTTACTGCTTTGCCCTTCTGTTGGCGTCTGTAAAAGATCGGCACAAGAGAAACCAAATTGAGAATCAACGGCACGGCGGCTGCAAAGAAAGAAACAAAGATTCCATGAATTTTTCAGCACAACACACCACTTTGTACCCGACATTCTTTTACATTTTGAAAGTTTGTTCACACTAGAATAGAGAAAAAAAGGTTCGGTGTGCAGAATCAGGAAAAATTATTTGATTATTCTTGCGAACCATGACGTCAGATAAAAAAAAACAAGTGGACGAGGAACGGGAGTTGATGTTTTTTTTTTTTCACAAACTTGTAGAATAATTAAATGAAAAACTCAAAAAAATACTTCTGGGTTCGAAAACATTGAGATTTCGGGAAAAATTTTTCGAATTATATTATAAAAGCAGTACATGTTTGAAAGTCAAGGAATAGTATATCGTAAAATATGTAATAGAAGGGCCCCACGCTGTCAAGTTTGAGCTCAATTATCTCGGCTCCTATACAAGATATCAAAGAGGCATCAACTGATAAAATGTTTCTGATATCATGATAAACAATTTATCAGTTGACAACTTTTTAATATCTTGAACAGGAACTGACGGAAATTGGGTCAAATTTAAAAGAAAGGGGCTCTTCTAGTACGGCTCCGCAGCTCTTTTAAACCGCGACACTTCGAAACCAGTCATTTTGAAACCGTGGGTTTTTTTATTTCTCTCGAATCGAATCCCCGAGACGCACGTGTTTTGTAGTGTGCATATTTTGAAATTGTTCAGAATACGAAGCTGAAGTACTTGTTGCTATGAGATGCAGTTATAAACAGGTGGAAGCGGAGAGCAACATTTTAGATACGAAATTATTATGTTTTTCGGGTTGTCAAAAAGAGAAAGAAAACATGAAAATTAATTTATAGAGTTATGAACCCACCACAAGGAATGAAATTGTTTCATCAAAAAACCTCTAATAGACGGGCTATCAAGTTTAGGCTCAATTATCTCGGCTCCTACTAAAGACATTGAAAATGTGTAAATTGATAAAATGCTTGTGATATTATGATTAACACTTTATCAGTGGACAACTTTTTCATATCTTTAACAAGTACCAAAATAAATTGGCTCGCAGTAAAAGTTAGGGGGCTTTCTATTACAGGTTTTACGGTAATTAAACTCTAACTTGCAGAGAACTCAAAAGAGAGAAATAGTGAATTGGCTATAAATCTTGTGTTTGCAGAAATTTAGATTTCAAGATTGATGACTTGAGCTCCGTCATTCATTTTTTCCGCATTCCTTCGTTTTTCTTTTCCTTCTTCCATCCAATTTCCTTTTCTTCCCCTTTTTTTCTGCTGACATTCATCACCTACACTCATCTATTCCTCTAAACATCATCTATCAATTTAGGTTTTGGTCCTGGCTTCTGCCTTCGGAATTCTCCTTCTCTTCTCATTTATTTTGTTTGAGTGAGGAGAAGCAAAATGAGAAAGTTGAGACCAAGAGCCGAAAAGACGAAAATCGGCGGATAATGATGGATTTGAACTATTTTCGTGTGGATTTTTCTTCTTCCTTCTGTTTTTCCTCGATTTTCCTTCCCATTTTTGTTCGTGGAGGTGGAGGATTGAATCCAGAAAAAGAGTATAAAAAATTGAGAAGATTAGAAATTCGAGAGTAGATCCTGGAAGAGATGTGTGGAACATGAAAACAAGTAGGACGGAATAAATTTAGATAATCTGCTGTTGGTTTTTTTCCTCTGTTGGACACAAAAAATAGCTCTGAAGGAGGAAGGAGAAGAAAAACGGAAAATGGAATCATAACAAGAAGAAGAAAGAGAAGCAAACAAGTATAATGACCTCTTCCACTCAATTTCTTCAGCTAATTATAGAGTTGGTTGTTCTTGTGACAACTCACAGCTCTCTTAACTTCTAAAACCAAAAAGTGCTCCAATCCTTCTTCTTCAGAAACTTGACGACTTCCTTCTGGCGGCCCTTGACGACGTCATTATACATTTCCGGGCGGTCAGTAGATAAAAAAGAATGAAGAAGAAGAATGAGAAAAAAAAAACGGAATATCTTTCTACATCTCTGGATCCATAAAGTACAAACAGAATGAGTTTTCTTTTTTGGGCTTTCAAAAGAAAAAAGAAGCATCTCAGAACCTATTAGAAGATATCTGAAAGAGAGAGAGAGAGAGAGAGAGAGAGAGAGAGAGAGAGAAAGGAAGAGCTAAGAATGTTCAAAGGGCAAACCAAGAAGATTCCGGTCAAGTTTTGAATAGATGAAATCAGTGCATCAGCTGATTCTAGAAGAACCAGAATGTCTCTGACCATTAGTCTGTTATTCTGGATTTCAAATTACAGCAAACACTCCAATAGAGTGCCACTCAAACCCTCACCTTCAAGCTCATGTATCTCGGTTCCTGTGGAAGATATGAAAGTTTTGTAAACTAACAAAATGTTTATTATAATTTTTGAAACATTGTATTAGTTGGCAAAGTTTTGATATCTTTCACAGGAACCGAGATACATGAGCTCAAAGTTGACGCTTCTGGTGGCAATCCATTAGAAAGTTTACGGTAAGTGCAAAAAACTACCACGACCATGTAAAATTTCTTACCAAATACGATCAAGTTCGTGGTGAGCGTTGAGTGCTTCATCTCCTACTGATGTGCTCCAAAGACCTGGAAAACAAGAAACAGTCCGAGTATGATGAAAAACAAAACATTGAAAATTGAGAGGGAGGAAAAACTGAAAGAGAGAAAATAAACAGAAGACCGGCCCCCTTTTTCTCTCTCTCTCTTATTCCAGTTGGAACGTCGCCGCCAATTGTGCATGTTGTCAGTGAAAATGGAGAATAAGAAGGCGGATGAATAGCCGTGCTGCATTTCGAATGCGCCGAGCCTTGGCACCTAGAAGAGAGAGCGAAGAGAAGGGGGCGGAGCTTAGGAGTGTTGGAGAAGAAAAAGTAAGGGCGGAGTAGTGGAATGGAATCGGGGGAGCAACGTGGCAATCACTGAAACAAATGTCTGAAGAGGGACAAGAGTTATGAGACAGATTTGAGTGGCAGATGAAGTTGGGAAACAAGAAAAGGAGGGAGCTTTGACTACGGTATCTAAGTGAATGGGAATTCGACTTTCAGAAAGTTGAAAGTTAGAAAAAAATTCTAGAAGCATAAAATACATTATTGATGATGATTTCGTGAAGCAGAATCAATAAAATAAAGCGACAGAACTCGATGAAGAAATTCAGAAATTCAGAAATTTAGAAAATCGGAAATTCAGAAATTCAGAAATTAAAAAAAAATGCTTAAAATGGTTGGGAAGAGGGGAAGACTTGAGTTTCCGCGCAGTGAGAAACCTAGGCCGCGGCTGCGGGACGTCTTATTTGCATGGTAATTTTCCCGAATTTTCTGCTTTTATCTCGTAAAAAAAACGTAAAAAACCACTGGCGGCCGTTAAAAAAGACTTTCCGCCGCCGTGGCCTAGGTTTCTCATTTCGCGGGGACTCAAATCCTTGTTCCTATTCGCCACCTTTTTTGGCAAAATTTTCACTGTCAACGGCATTTTTTAGGGGATTTCGGATTTTTAAAGCATTTTTTCTCAATAATATTAGGGAAATACATAACCTTTTAAACATTGCAGTGCAATAAAAATTTCGGTCAGAGTCCCTCTTTAATATGTCTTCTTCCAAGAAAAGTTGTACCGTAACCTAACTATCTTCGCATTACATTCTTTACGTCATACGACATATAAAATCGTTGTCTGATATATAATTTTCCCAACTGATTTCCAGGAAAACTATTGAGACTCGCGCGAATTCTCTGAAAATAAATCGGAAACAAGAAGAAGAAGAAGTTTTTAGAGAGTAACCTGTTATTATATCGAGCGTTTTTCAGTGCTTTCTTGTCAATAAGAGAAATCTGAATAACAACAAAAAAGGGAATATTAGAAAAATGGGATTATAAAAAAAGTTGGGGTACGACGAATTCGAACGTTTTCAAATTCGAACAGACCTAAAATCGAACTGATTCAATTCAGAACAGTCCTTTTTTCGCACACGTACTAGAACAGAACGCGGACAGAATCGAACTGTTACAAGTTCGAACTGGTAAGGAGTCGAACTGTCCCGAATTGGAA